GTAATTTTCTTCTGTTTCATTACTATAAGTGCTATTGCTACGTTGAACGGGTAATAATCCATCGGATTTATAAGTGATGTATCGATCTGATATTGCAGAAGGTTCATAAGATGGCGATTGTAATGGAATATCTTGTGGGCTGGTTGAATTGTTTGCATTCTCATGAAAATCATGTTGTTGTTGTTGTAGATGTGGCTGTGATTGTTGCTTGTGATAATAACGACGAGAAGGATAGGATTCATAATCGACAGATGAGGAATCATAATTGGATGCAGCTTGGCGTTGTCGTTCTAATGTAGAATAGCCTTCAGTGAGTGATAGTTTCTGCTTTCGAGGAGATGCCAATGTTGGAATTGTATCACGACTAGAAGATGGCTGGCGTTTACTATTTTCTCCTTCAGGTATGATTAAATTAATTCCAGATCTTGGTAAAGATGTATAGGAAGATCGAATGAGTGATCGCTCCATGGATAATTGACTAGATGCAATTTTATCATAATGATCGATTCCATTGGATAATTTTCGATCATTTATTTCTCCTTTCATATCTACAACGAGGCAAAAACGATAGGATAGTTGATTATTTTCATCATACATAAGTCAACTTCAATAATGAATATGCGTGTAGACTGATTTTATTGCAAGATAAAGTAAATTGAATCTCCTGTCAAGAAATGAATTTTATTCTTGCAACACTTTACCATCATGTATCATTATTTACCGCTAGATGGTGCTGTCATAATGTCGAAATTCCATCCACTTTCATGTTCATCGTTATCATACTTATTCTTTTTGATAGTATTGTTAAGTTTATTTCTACTAGGTAAACTTGCATAAATGTTAGGATTTGGCGTGGAACCCTCGCTAGATTAAGTAAAATATTGAAAAAATGAGTTTATAAATAATTATTGTAAATTAGCTCTCCTTAAAAGTAGTCCAATAAATTAGGTTGAATGATGTGCACGAAACACTTTTGAGTTAGCGGTATTTTTAATTTTGTCTTTTGATTTTCTTACTAAAGGAAAATTAAATTGGGTGGCTAAGAATCGAATACTAACGACTATGCTATGATAACAGATGCTCATAACTTAATTTTAATGTAGTAGTCAAGGTAAATATCAGAAGAATATGAATAAGTATACAAGTTATTAAAACTCATAACTTTATTGCACGAGAATAAGTAAAATAACTATTTTACGCTAAGAAGTGAAAAAAGATTACAATATGGTAAACTATTAAATTCTGAATATGGCTGAATTATAATTTCTTGCTGTAAGCACACTTGAGGTATTTCATTTTTAGCATTTGATCATGTCGACATGTTGATAGTAAGCTAAATGTGATGATAGGACAACTTACTCGTTAACAACGCCTTTCTCTTCAAGTGTTCTCCTATAACATTTAGAGAAAAGAAATTAAGCCTTTTTATACTTTTGGATAAACATATTGCAACTTTGTAGACCAAGAATCTTCATCATTAATTATAGCAAACTACGCCGATTGATTTACGACTTGTAACTATCGTGTCTTAGGATAATGACGCGAAAGTGCTATTTGCAATCTTTTTTTAGCATCGATTGAGAATTGTAATTATACGATATATTCCACGAATCCAACGTAGATAGCTAAAACTATCGCCTAGAATTGATCTAAATGATCTACGTTGACTACGACTCTAATTGGCCGTTTATGATAAATTATTGAACTGACTGGGATACTGGATTGAAAAAGGATAGACTACTCATGGATTAAACTTAAATCACTATGTGGTCTTGGGAAATTGATTACTATCGGATACTATCATGTTCAAATGCGATTCTGATATTAATGATCGTAAAGCTAGCCTACTCGTCTCTTATATTTACAGAATTAACGGCAATCCATGTTGAAATTAGTTTATTCCACTTACAAGCATGATTCAATAATAACATTGGAATTGGAATCGCTAAAATCTTCGTTTTCAATATTGGCATTGGATGGCTGCCTAAGCCATAAATCTTCTGAACTACTGCATGATCCAAATACGATAACATTACCATTACTTAATGCAAATGATGAGAGATGGATATTTCAATCATAGCAATTATAACAAGCAATTTACGCTGGCATTACGGAGCGCCATTTATGTGGCAACTATTCCATCATGATAGTATGATATCATTTAAACTAGAACTACAATGATTACGGTCAATTTTTTGTTTTAATCATCGTAGGCAATATTTGCGCTCTCCTATGATTCACTGCTCTTTCTTGGTGATACTATGGCCATGCTATTTTAACTCTCAACTAACTCTTTCCATCTTTTACTACATAAGCTTTGATCACTATATAAGAAGACGATAACAGTAGTATTCAACTACTGGAAAAGAAAAACCAAGCTGCATATTACCTATGTGATCTTCCATTTATACTATATATACTTATACTATATTTATTTATCATCTCGGTTAATCTTTTACGACACTAGTTTTGATCACGAGATAGGAAGGCAATGGCGGTGATATTAAATGTTCAACTACCCTAAGAGAAAACCAAGCTTTATATCATCTCGGTTAATCTTTTACTACATTAGTTTTGATCACGAGATAGGAAGGCAATGGCGGTAATATTAACTGTTTCAACTAGAGGAAAGAAAAACCAAGCTTTAGATCATCTCGGTTAATCTTTTACTACATTAGTTTTGATCACGAGATAGGAAGGCAATGGCGGTGATATTAAATGTTCAACTACCCTAAGAGAAAACCAAGCTTTAGATCATCTCGGTTAGTCTTTTACTACATTAGTTTTGATCACGAGATAGGAAGGCAATGGCGGTAATATTAACTGTTTAAACTAGAGAAAAAGAAAAACCAAGCTTTAGATCATCTCGGTTAATCTTTTACTACAGAAGCTTGAATCACTATATAGGAAGACGATAACAGTAGTATTAACTGCTTCAACTCGAGGAAAAGAAAAAACTAAGTTGGACATCATCGATTTCGTCTTCTACTAAATTAAGCCGATATGAAGCCAATGCACTGTTTTGACTCCCAAAAGAGGAAATTCAAGCTCTATAAACAACTGTTTCATCTTATACTAATATTAGCCCAAAAGGAAAGCAATGATAGTCGTATCGACTATTTCAATTACTAAACTGAAGGAGAATAATCGACTTCCATCTCATCTATTTATTATACTACGAAATCAACTGTAAAGCAAGCCATGGCCAGCATTGCCTGTTTAAACTACCGACACTGGAAAAGAAAATCAAGTTTGCTATCATCTCCTCTGATATCGTACTCCATTAACCATGAAAGTTCATATATGGAGGCAATCAGCTGTTTCAACTACCGAAAAGAAACTACAGGGCAAATTATCGATTGAATCCCTCCTAACTGTATATTAGCCGTCAATGAAACCCAATGGCAGTGGCATCGACAGTGTAAACTCCAGTACTGAAAGCGGAAAATTAAGCTCTATATTTCCCAATTTCATTCTCTACCTTACGAAGTCAATCCCAAATGAAGCCAACGATAGTAGTACTGACTATACACACTATTGCAAGAGAAAAATCAAGCTTTCCGCATCATCTCTTTAATCCTAGACTACATTAACCTTGAGTGCTCACTAGAAAGGCAATGAACAACTATTCCAACGACCAAGAGGAGAAGCAAAGCTCTATGTCATTGATTTCATTCTTGACTAAATTAACCCTAAACGAAGCCAACGATAGTAGTACCGACTGTTTCAACTCTTAATGGTGAAAAATCAAGTTCCACATCATCTCTTTAATCCTAGACTACATTAACCTTGAGTACTCACTAGAAAGGCAATGAACAGTTGCAACGATCGAGAGGAGAAGCAAAGCTCTATATCATTGATTTCATTCTTGACTAAATTAACCTTAAACGAAGCCAACGATAGTAGTACCGAATGTTTCAACTCTTAATGGTGAAAAATCAAGTTCCACATCATCTCTTTAATCCTAGACTACATTAATTTTAAGGACTCACTAGAAAGGCAATGAACAACCAAGAGGAGAAACAAAGCTCTATGTCATTGATTTCATTCTCCACTAAATCAACCCTGAATGAAACCAACGATAGTAGTACCGACATTTTAATGTACTGAAAGAGAGAAAAATCAATCTCCGCATCCTAGGCTACATTAACCTTAAGGACTCACTAGAAAGGCAATAAACAACAACGATTCCAACGATTAAGAGGAAAAGCAAAGCTCGATGTCATTGATTGCATTCTCCATTAAATCAACCCTGAATGAAACCAACGATAGTAGTACCGACATTTTAATGTACTGAAAGAGAGAAAAATCAATCTCGTCATCCTAGACTACATTAACCTTAAAGACTCGCTAGAAAGGCAATGAATTGTTCAAAGCAGGTAAAGGAAAAGCAAGCTCCATATCATTGATTTCATTCTCCACTAAATGAATCCTAAATGAAACGAATCACGCTCGCAATCACTGTTTCGATACTGTAGAATTATACTCCCATCTAAAACTATGATAGAGACTTTCCACCATAGAATAATCGACCCATTTTCTCCCTAATTGAGCACTGATTTATCTTTTGTCTCAAATTATCCTACCGGATAAGTAAAAGGTATTCTAAGCATGATGGAACTAGATTGTTGTCAACTGTCTGACGCCATTTTTGTTGGCGTCCCTATAACCAAGCAAGATGGATGAAAGCTAGTGTCCATCAAGACTGCTATGGATATCATGGCTAAAATGAATGAAATGAAAGTACTTGTTGTTGCTGTTATTGCCATGTGAACATGCAATCAGATCTATACATGAACATCTTGATCGTATCCATTTTACCCCCCGCTAGAGAAAGAAAAAAAGAAAGAGAGACTGCTTCAAGTCTGAACTTACCTTAAACTATGGAGGCTAGCCGTTTCAGAACCGGACATGTACTATTGGTGAATAAAAGAAAGAAGAGATATTATGTCATCATTGCTGTTGGCTATTGATTGACTATGGATGATAGGAGGATCACTCCTAAGCAATGGACATGAAATGAATAATAGATTAGTTTATCCATGCTAATTGTAGAATAAAAGAAACAACTATCCATCTTCTAACTTGACGATAGGCAATGGACAACAAACATCGTTTTCAATTGTGCTGAGTACAAACATGGTCGACAGGAATAGAGAACTAAAAAGAATGGAGCTCAAGGGGGTAAAAGGATGCATGGATCAGACTCTATTTTCGATCCTTGCTTTCCATGTCTTGTAGTTATGAAGGGCATTTTCAAGCTGTTCAATAATAAACTACAACGGCCATGCTAAAAGAACATGGAAAGGCTTACTTTGCATGTCTTGTGGTTATGAATGTTATAAATGGATGGATGGATCAGACTCAATTTTCGATCCTTGCTTTCCATGTCTTGTGGTTATGAAGGGAATTTTCAAGCTGTTCAATAATAAACTACAACGGCCATGCTAAAAGAACATGGAAAGGCTTACTTTGCATGTCTTGTGGTTATGAATGTTATAAATGGATGGATGGATCGGACTCCATTCTCGATCCTTGCTTTCCATGTCTTGTGGTTATGAAGGGAATTTTCATGCTGTTCAATGATAAACTACAACGGCCAATGCTAGGGGAATATGGAAAGGCAAAATCATGTCGATACGACCCAAAAATGAAAATCAATTTGCCAATCGATTACTACAAGGAGAATGAATTGAAATCAATTCACCTGGCTAGGGTAAAGGATGTACAAGGCGATCTAGGTCCCACAACATGGATGACAACAGAGTTTAATGCTATCCGTATACAACATCGTGGAAATAAAAAAAGAATCAAGTGACAACTAAATGAACATGCAACTCCAGCAGGCTAAAATAAACATCTTGTCAATAGAAAAGTGTTGAACAGCCTAGTTATGGCAAACAACGATGATCGTTGATTTGTAGCGTTGGCTAATGAATTCATTGATGTCGGTTAAAACCAACAATCTACAAGTTGGTCAAGATGGAACGACAGTAAACGAATTGATCGGATTGGATAAGATCGGCAGGCAAGAGGAAAAACTTCTATCGTTGACCCAAATCGGCCATGATAGAAGCCAGCATAAAATAAACAGCCTGTATGGCAAACTCCAATGATTTGGCCGTAGGGCATAAGAATAGCTCAAGCTAATAGGAAATAAATCGCTGGAGGGAGAATAGAATGATTTGCAATTTGCAAGTGGAGAAAAACAATCATGGATAGTTTCAATTAGTCTGCCATAT